TGCCCAGCTGCTCCACAGAACAAGGGTGTCTCACTCCAACCCTGGGCTGCAAGAACATGTCCACCAGCCAGCCTGACCCCTCTGAAGTGACGCAGTTACACCCGCCTGGGTGCCCCGTGCCTGACCAGGCTGCACCCTCCCTTCTCCAGGCCCCCCGAATCCAGTCCCCCGCCTTGGTGTGCAGGTGGAGACATGCCGTGGCTTGGTTTCTGTTACCATGCCAACTCCCCCCCTGCAGTCCACACACACTCCCTTGGCCCACTCAGGTGGCCCATGCAGAGCAAGAACCAGCTCGTGTTTTATCTGAGGTGGTGCTGTTTTCCAAACTAAGCAACACACTATGAAAGGGGATTCAGAAAAGGGTCACAGATGCCAGTCACAGGTGCAGGGACAGGACCCCCATCGCGTCCAGATGCAGGGCGGGCGCCCCCCAGCTGGCACACTCAGGCAGCTGCTGCAGCCTAGATCCCGCCTCCCAGCCCCCCACCATCCGGGGCCTCAGGAAGCCGCGGGGGGGGGGGGGGGGAGGAAGGCTCCCCAGTGAGCTGAACGGTTTCCATGTCTGGTCCAGGCCAGTCACCCAAGATTTCACCAGGTCAGTTGAACCCTGGGATGCGGCCGTCTTCTGTGAGTAATCAGCAGCCGCCTGTGGCATGTGTGCGTACACATGCACACCCATGCTCGTGCCCGCGCACACATGTGCACACGGTCAACCCCGATCCTGCTCGGACCTCACTCCTGGTTCCCGCCGACAGGTACCTGAGCTCCTGGGCTGGCGGGCCCCAGCCCTCGCAGGGACACTCGAAGTGGGGGACTCGAGGCACCTCTGTTATTCTACGGGCCCTCACACGCAAGCTGCTCTGCAAGGGTGGGGCGGGACCGATCCTGGGCCAGCACAGGGCGAGGCGTCTCAGGGCGGGTCCTTGTCTGTTTCAAGTTCCCAAGCAAACAGAATGGCCCTGTTTTCTTTCCCCTTTCTTTTTTGAAGGGAGAGAGTTAAAAACAGAGCGGCAGACACAGAGGTCTGTGATAGGGGCGTAGGGGATATGAAGGCCATAAACACACGAGGGAGGGAAACTCAAACTTCACGTCCCCATGTCACTCCCCAGTCCCACTAGCAGCCACGCGTGGGGCCTAATGGCCATAAGTTGTTTTCATCTGGCCCCCTTCCCGGAAGGGATGGCGGCTGTGACGTGCCCATCAGAGGGGTGACAGTCACACACAAACTGATGGGTCTGGGTGAAGTTCAAGAATGCCGCCAGCGACCCACCCTTCCTGTCACCAGGACGTCACCAGGGCAACGCCCTCAGCTGTGAGAGCAGCTTCCGTTAAAACGCTGTTCGTGTGCACGACACACACTGTTGTGGGTGGAATTCATCCCCAGAAAGTCAAGTTCAAGTGTGAACCCCCATTACCTGCCGTGACCTTATTTGGAAATAGGGCCTTTGCAGATGAGGTCGTATTAGAGGAGGGTGGGCCCTAAATCTGGCAACTGGTGTCAACAAGAAGAGGGGAAACTTGGACGCACAGACGAGGCCACGGGGTAACAGCAGCAGGCACAGTGATGCGCACACAGGCCCAGGGACACCAGCAGGGGCTGGCAGCCCCCGGGGTGAGGCCACGGGCCACGGGCTGGTGCGCCCTCACAGCTCCGGGAGGACCCGGCCCCACCGACACCCAATCTCCGGCTCAGGTCTCCAGGCGGAGAGAACAGACTTCTGCTGTTTTAAGTGCCGAGTCTCTGTGGGTTTGCCTCACGGCAGCCCTGGGACTCGGTTGGCGTATGTGTGTCTCTCTCTCACACATGCACGCACATGCAATTAAAAGCACATTCGCCACAAGAATTTTCCTCTCTGGATTACGTTCACGGAGCCCCGAGCTCCCTCCTGAGTGACCCACTTTGGCGTTAGTAATTTACTAGCTAAAACACACACGACGTTTAAATCCACTGTCATTTAAACTGTGTCTTTAAAATGCTCTGAGTCGTGTGAGTCAGCTCCCTTTGCTTCAGGAGTAAAATGTCAACCAGAACCACACAGTGAAAACACACAAACACTGCCCCCGCCCCCCAGCTCCAGCTGGAATCACAGACGTCCGCTTGGTGGGGGTCCGCTCGGTGGGGGTCCGGAGGTCACCTGACAGTTTCTACGGAAAGGGGACTCTTCTGAAGGCCGGAAGGCCTCCCGCCAGGGCAACCCTCCAGCAATCCTCGGGCCCTGGGCCGGGTCAGGGCCCCTAAAGGGTGTCCGCAGGCTCATTGAATCCACAGACCTACCAGGGCAGGGTGCAACCCACGCGTGGGCGGGGCCGCCACCACCCACAGCGACCAGGCTGCCCTGGGAAGTCCTGCCCACGTGCGGCGGAGGCAGGGGACTGACCCTGCAGCTGTAAAAGGAAGGAGCGGAAACCAGAGGGTGGAGGTAAGACCGAGAAAGGCAGAGGCCTCCTGGCTCACTGAGTCCAGCGCCTCGGCCTGGCGCCCTCACCGCCGCCCTTCACGGGGGGCAGACGTGAGCCTTGGTCCCCACGGGGAGTTGCGGGGGGGCGGGGGGGCTGAGCTGCCCTCAGCCATCGCCTCCCGCACACCCGGGAGAGGGTGCCGGGGCTCCGGGGGTCTGTGTCCACCCGGGTGGGGATATCTCCACCCCGCCACGCTGAAGACACTCCTCACTCAGTAAAGGCAGGCGGGGAGACGCGCTCCGCGAGACCGGAAATCACTGCGCCGAGGGGCTCGCCGACGGAGAGGACACCTCCGTGTGCGGAGGCAGCAGGAAATCTCACGAGGCTTCTCTCATCTGCTTCCAGGAACCACCACTGCCATCTGGAGACCCGCCCAGGGCTCGTGGACAGGATGTGGGAGTCGGTTTCCTGGTCTGGCTCGGAGGGACGAAGGCACGGCCACCTGCCTGTTTCCAGGCAGGCACAGGTGGCCGCCCCTGGGGAACAGGAACTCAGGGGGCTTCCAGACCTAAGTCAGCACTGGAGGCCCGAGTGAACGCCCGCTGGGGTGCCCCGGGGCCGTGCCGCTCCAGGCTCTCAGCACCCGAATCCCCCGGACCCGGAGGCGGGCAGTGGCCAGTTGCCCGTGGGCCATCCTGCTCCTGACCCGGGAGGCCCTGGGCCCAGGGCTCACAGAGGAATGAGGTACGTCCCTGCGAACGGAGGAGGAATGGCGTTTCACATACAAACGCACGCTTCCCTACCCTCTAAACTCCCGCGTTTGAAATGCTGCACGTCACACCAATGAAATTCAGTGGAATAAAGCCTGTTACTTAGAAAACCCAATAATGGGCTATTAAGGGATTGCAGTTGGGATACCATTTTAATTTTTCATGAATGAACATCCAACAGAAATGCCTCTATGCTCATCACAACACAAGGCAGCTGCAAAGACTCGCCAGTCGGGCCACATGTAGGTGATGAAGTGGGACCTGCACAAAGGGGACAGGCACGGCCGCAGCGCGGGAAGATGGGGCGGGAGAGGCGTCCCTGTGTGAGACCTCGGGCACGCCGGCACCCACCATGCCAGACACCCACCACGCGGGGCCCGAAGGGCAGAGAAGCAAGGGCACCGTGACACAGGTGGGGTGGGGTGGGGTGGGGTGGGGGTGGTGCGGGCAGCGGTCTGGAAAGAGGTGACTGTTCCCCTGCAGCCAGCTCCCCCCCACCCCGGGCTGCAGGCGCCACTCACCTACACGGCAGCCACACCCACGGGACACACAGAGAACCTGACCCTGGGAAAGTCAAAGCCGCGCCGGACCCGAGGGACGCATCCAGCAGCCCCCCGCAGGGACAGAAAGCCCTGCCTGCGCTCCACCCGCCGCCGCCCTCTCCACCCGCCGCCGCCCTCTCCAGACCACGGGGCTCTCGGGCATCCGCACACACCTCGCCGAGGACGGCATGTGCTTCCTCACCGATTTCCGCCTTCACACCCTCCTGTTCCCCTTCGACCTTCCCAAACCGTCCGCTCAGCCTCTCCCTGATGTGACTGCCGTGGGGCTTTTACACTGTGGCAAAACCCCACGAACTATTGGCGGAGCCCTGAGCAGAGACCAGAGCACCCCCTGCCCACCCCCCCACTTTCTGCGCGGTCCCAGTCGCCAGGGCGGGGGTTAAACGCCAGAACAGGTGTTACAGGAAACACTACAGGGAAGCTATGGCTAAAAACACATCTGAGGGACAAAACAGGGTGGATGGTGAACTGAAAAAAAGGCCAAACGAACACAAGAGGATGAGGCACAGGACGGGGGGGGGGGGCACTACGGTGCGAAGCCGGCCTCGCCTCTCCGCACAGACAAGTGCTACCACGAGGAAAGGGCATAGTTACCTGCGTCCATATCTGCAAAGAATGGAACAGCCAGTAAGAGAAAGAAGGAACCAGAAATTCAGTGTCTCGGAGTTGGATTTGAAAAGGTTACACGGAGAGAAACATAATTTAGAAAAACGACCTGCGAACTGTGCATGGGCCCCCATCATCACTATATTGCAGCTAAAGCAAAAAACTGAAGATTTTATCTGAAGAAGGAAAAGCCTAATGGCAAATAAAATATCTTATTTTTGTGCAAAACAATCATTACCTCTGTATAACACAACACGAAGGGGAAACACTCCAACCCGCGGCTTCCTGAATAATGGCACGTGTCCGGGGCTGAGCCATGGGACATGCAAATTACGTACGAGCTCAGTGTCCAGAGCGGAGCCGTGGCTGAGCAATACTTAAGGGCGTGAGGCCGGACTGACGTCTGCAAGGACAGAGCTGTCAGGGAAGGAACGGGCTCCAGAGCACATCACGGGCTACTCTTGCTCCAAAGGCCCCAGTGAGTCTAGTCAGTCGGCTACAAATACTACGGGAGAAACAGTGCACCTAAGGATTTCCCCTGCCTGGTGTTCAGTTACTTTCCTGACAGCTGATGCATCAAAGTAACGATTTAGGACACGTTACGGGAAAAGTCGCAGAGCTAAGCCCTGCTACGCGCGAGCCTGCCTGCCAGGCAGCGTACCTTCGGGAGACTCCTCCTGCACGTAGGTGCCGGTCAGGTAGCGGTGCACCAGCGCCGACTTGCCGCTGGCCAAATTGCCCACGATCCCCTGAAACAGAGCAAGGGATGACGGTTAAGGACCGGGACGACGGTTAAGGACCAGGACGTCAGTCCACTCGGCCAGCTGCAAACAGAGTTAAAATGGGCGGCAGATCTCCACAAGACCACAGCCACGGGTAGGCTGGAGGACCAGAAATGGGCTCCGGAAGTCCCCCTGCTGGAGAAGGGACTGTGGCCCCTCACCAACTCCCCTAACACTGGCCGAGGCCCCTCCTGGAGACCCCAGGTGGTGGGTCCACCAGGAAACGAGCATGAGTCAGCGCACCACGTGCTGTGAACCCCGTGCAACCTGAGCCCGGCGTGTGGTGCGATATGGGCCCACCAGAGCGTGTGGGGATGAGAAGGACGTCCCGGGGCCTTCCAATCACGACTCCAGGGTGGGAGTTTGGAGCCGGGTCAGACGAGGTAAAAAGAGCCACACAGGTGAATGACAGACACCATGGGGAGGGCTGGGGGGATGTGGCTTGCATAGGCCAGGCATGAGAGCAAGCTGGCTGCTCTGAACACCGGTGAGTGCCGAGGGATGGACAAAGGGGACTGCAGCCTCCCTAGACTCAGAGCACCCACCGAGAGTCAGGGTGACGTGAGAGCTGGGTGAAGCGACCTGGCGGGCACGAGCGATGTTGGCTGTACTCAGGCCGTCTTCAGGAGAAGCTCCCCTGACCAGGACTGAGACACCTGGGCGGGAGGTGGGTGCTCACAGCTCCCACCTTCTCATAAACCGGGGCCTTCCCTTCCCCTGCGCTCGGGGTCTCCCGCCTCCTCCACCTTCTCTGGGAAGCTGCTTCTGAAGAACACCTTCCCATCTTTTAATCTTTTCCTCCCCCACTACAAATCTCCCATCTGTGTTTCAACATGACCAGATCAATTCTTTAAGAGAAACAAAACAAAACAAGAGGCCAGCCCCTGTATTCCAGCGCTGAGGCCAGCCCCGGGCAGACTCTCAGCAGCACTGGTTGAATGAGTGAATGAATGAGTGCACGAGTGAGCAAACTCGAGTGAATGAGTGAGCAAATGAGTGGGTGAGTGAGAGAGTGAATGAATGAATGAATGAGCGAATGAATGAGTGAATGAACAAATGAATGAATGAGCGAATGAATGAGTGAGCGAGTGAGTGAATGAGTGAGTGAGCGACTGAGTGAGTGAGTTACCCCCACACTAGTGAGCGTGAACCAGCCGTTGCATTCCCAGGGCCGAGAGCCAGACTTTGTGGACAGATCCTAAATAAAGTTGTTTCCCCTCCTGCTTTGACTCATGCTGTCTTCTTACCTCGGGCCTCTGTAATCCGAGAGTTTCTCCCTATCAATTATTCTTTTGCTCAGGGGTAACTGCCGCCTGTCAGCTTCATACGGAGGAAACCCAGAACAGTATGCCACAGAATTAAGTTTTTAATTAAGACCAGGGTTGCTGTTTGCTGAGGAGGAAAACCTCAACATCACACACTGAGCGGCTTCCCGAGTGTGACGACAGCCCCTCCGTCCATGCCCACGACTTGCAGAGCACAGGCTGGCCCCTCAGGAGGCGCAGATCCGTTGGGCTGGGGGTCAGGGGATGGGTCTCCCGGGGGCTGCACAGCCGCCCCTCAGATACGCACACCAGGGGCACAGACCCACAGCCAACCCCACAGGGGAAACGAAATGACAAACGAAAACGCTCCGTCAGCAGCGCAGCTGCCTGGGGCCCAGGAGCTGCCCCGGGTGCGAACGGGAGTGCGTGCCACTCAGCCGGGGTGCCCGGGCTCCGTGGGGAGCGCTGGGCAGCACGGTGGGGGCGTCCTGGCAATCCTGGGACAGAACTAGGCCACCTGGGACGTTCCAGGTGGCCAGGGCTGTGACGGCCAGCTGTCCTCACCCTCTGGGCAGGGCCACGAGCCCGCGGGATGTGAGCTCACTGTCGCCGCCTCCCAGGAGGAAGGGGAGCGTGGCCTCTCCCCGAAGCGCCTTGGCTGCTGTCCCGGACGTCCCGCTAACCCGCTGCGCCCGCCGCTCGCTGGGAAGGAAACCCAGGGTTCCGGTACGAATTCCAGGTGGGAACTCACGGAAAACACACAAGCAGGATGTGACAAGCGGCTGGCTAACATGCCCCTGTGGGAGCTTGGGTGTCTGGTGCCTCCACCGTCCGCTCAGACAGCAGGGTCCCCTGTGCACCTGGCACCGGGGGACCGGCCAGGGGCTCCACGGTGGCACCAACAGCGGCCGTCCCTGATGACCTAACCCTAACATGACTTCAGGACTCACAAAGCGTGGTACCAGCACTCTCCGGAAGGCAAACAGTGCGACTCTTTCTCTAACGGATTCCAGAAGCTGGACTGCAAACCTGACATAAAGAGCCCACTGGAGGCAGCTGTCCTGTCACTCGGCTGCGGCGTCTGCACAGCAGAGTCGGGGGGCAGGAGACAACTGCAGCCCTGTGGACACACAGGGCCGCCTCTGACGGAGGGGGCGCTTCCTGCCTGTGCAGGCGGCTCTGCAGCACGGAAGGCCTGGCCCCCACAGGGCCGAGCTGTCTGGGGCCGAGCCATCTAGAGCAGAGCCGGCGCCCACCCGCAGGCTGGGGCAGGACGCACAGAGCGTCCCCTCAAGTCCTGCCCAGTCACTCGCGCATCCTTGTCCACGGGTGGGGTCGAGCCCCACAGCAAACTCCAGCTCACTTTCAGGTGGTCGCTCCGGGGGAACCGAGTCCGTGCCGCCCTTCCACGGAACCGCCTCTGCTTCCCCCGGCCGTTCACCTCAGACAACTGCACCCTGTTCCGATGCCGGCAGACAAGCTCTGTGGTGGCGCCGCCTCAGTGACGGGCCGGCCGGGCACCAGGGGCTCCGGCGGCGCCCTCGACACCACCTCTGACTCCCCAAAGCAGGTCTGTGTCCACGGGCTCCGCACTCAGGGGGCCGTCAGTCAATCACGTGGCTGCTGGCTGTAGGTGGCCACGCCAATTTACACTAAACGAAAATTTAAAATTCAGCCCCTCCGTTGCACAAGCCACACTTAATGCTGCACAGTCACGTGGGGCGGGCCACCGAATGGGACGGCAAAGATGGGGAGGCGTCCTCAGCGCGGAGAGTGCTTCTGGCAGGGCTGGCGCGAGCTCACGCGCCGGCTCACCGCCCGGCTCCACCCTCGCGTGTGACTGGCTCCTCGGGCCAGTTCTGATGGCCCTTGAGCCTCAGTTTCCCCATCTGTGGAGTGGTCAGGAGGAAATGAGGCGATAGGCGATAGGCGAAGCGCCCACAACACACCCCCACGGAGAAAGAGACTCATGGGACAGTCACCACTGTTGTCACCAGGATGTCATTCCTGCGTTCCCTCCCACGGCCGGACCAGGGCGGCACTGTGTTCTTGTGAGTGTGTGTGTCTGAAACTGGCCAGTCTCCCTGACACACTCCCGGTAACCACGGCACCGCTGTGCGGCATCTGCCCGACAGGCACTTCTGGACACGCCTGGAGCGACGTGCCAGAGGTGGGGGGTGGCCGTGCGCAGGTCAGGCCTGCAGAGCCCGGCCCCGAGGACGGCGGGGGGCCGATGAGCCCTGTGTCTCCCGTGAGGAAGGCCACGCCCCAGAGAAGGTCGGCGCTCGGGGGGCGTAGGAGGAAGGTGATGGCAATGAGGACAAAAGGGCATGGTGCCGTGGCCCCCAGTTTCAGGGTGGCTCCCCACACATCCTCGTTCTTTAAGAAAACAATGTGTTTCCCGGTGACAAAAATCACACTTAAAAGTTATACATGCTCTCTTCAAAATCTGGATGCTCCTCACTCTATGATGATCTCATCTCAGAAGTGAGCCGCTTGAGGGTCTTGTCCTCCACCCCGTACGCAACCAGGGGAAGGTGCCCAAGGGCCTCTGGAGGTCCCTGGGGGTCCTGGGGCAGGCACGCTGAGCTAAGAAATGCCGACCCGAAAGAATGGGCCAGGCCTGCGCCGGGACCAAGCTCCATCCAAGTGCACCGGACCAGGGGCGCAGCTCTGCTTCCACTCCGCGGCCAGAGCCCCGCTGCAGAGGGCCACGCACATGTGCGCACACACGTGGACAGGTATACACATGTGTGCACACGCACACCACATATATACATGTGTGCACATTTGCACGTATACACACATGCACAGATACAGGCGTGTGTGTGCATTTAAATGTGCACACACTACGCATGTACACACACACATGCATATAAATACACAGGCATGTCCCCCAATGCCACCGCCTCACAACAAAGAGCAGGGCCCCTCCAGGAGCGTGCGTCCCCTCCCTCCCCCCCAGCGGAGGCACTGGGGTGGGTGCCCACAGGTGTGGCTGCGAGAGACCCAGGACAGTTTCCATGCGCTGATTTTAAGCTTTAAACGATCTCATTGAAGGAACATTCAAAGTCTGTAACACAAACAAAATCTTTCTTTTAATGCTACACCCCTACTTCACAATGCAGTAAAAACAGCCCCATTTTCAAAGACGAGTTCCAAAGCTCGGCGACTCCTCAGAGGGACTCCCGGGGACATCTGGCAAAGGGCGAATGAAGCCATGCATGTGTGAGACAGACAGACACACGCACAGACAGGACAGAAGACACCCCCCCCCGCCCCGTGCACACGGCCGCTCTGGCTGGCTGCCCATCATGGATGCACAGGCACACTTGGGGCTCCACCCCAAACTGCCAGCGCACCCGGCCCTTCCAAGGTCACCCCCAGAGCCATCTCGGGGCCCTGGGGATGCAGGCCTGCGTGTGCTCATGGGTCCCCTTGCCTGTGACGAAGTCCCCCTCCCCGCCCCCAGAGGGGATAGACTGCTGCTGAGGCTGGAGGGACACTTACCACTTTGAGCTCTGGGACGGAGCGGCTGAGCGTCCATTCCTGGCTGTTCACAAAGGCATCTGCAAAACAGGAGGGGACACAGAGTGAGACGCAGGGGGCTGGGGGCACACCACTCTCGGCAGGCGTCACAGACGCCAGTTTCCCCAGAGAAACTGGCTTTACTGGGCCCACACGGCGGTCCCGGTGCCAAGTCCACACCTGCCCCCGAAACCAGAAGGCCCGCGCCGCCCAGGACTCCGAGGGGCCCCTGCCGGCTGGACACGCCCGCCCTGGCGGCTCACGCTCGAGAGTGGGGGGGAGTAGGCGGCTCCCGGCTCTGACCCTCTGTCCCGGTAGAGTGTGTGGTTTCTCACCACAAGTCACCGCCTGAACCTCCCCAGCCATGTTGCGGAGGAGGAGGACTGGGTTCTGAAACCCCACGTCCACGTTGTGACGCTCGGCACAGCCCCGCCGCAGCCTCAGCGCACAAGGGGCGGCCTCCCCTGGCTCCTGTCTCTGCCCCTCCCCCTGCGTGTTGGGGGACCCGCTCAACACAGCTGACCCAGGCGCCCTGACCTCCCACGCCCCCAGTGGGCCGCTTCTCACGGGTGAGACCACGCGCCTGGGGACAGGGTCCGGCAGCTGCTCCGGGACCCCCGAGCCGACGGCCAACACCTCTCCTTCCACACAGGATTCACTCCCCACGTATTTCCCACAGATTCAGAATGCTCATCACCCTCTGCCATGTCCACAAAGAAGTTAAGTGACTCAGAGAATTCCCATGAGTCAAGAAATGCCACCAGACTCAAAGGGACGCATGAGACGCGAGTGAGATGGACAAGGAGCAGCAGCGACGGCAGAGCTCTGGGGTCCACGAGGAAGGGCAGGAACCGCGTTTGGGGGAAGCGAGGCAGATGCCATCCACGGGGACGTGAGAATGGGGTGGGCGACCACTCCGGGAGGGGGACCCGCCAGAGGAGGGAGGAAGGGTGACGGGCAGGTGAGGAGGCTGCAGGGGGCCGGAGCCGCTGGAGAGGATGCAAGACGTCAGTGGAGGGCGGCACGTGCTGTGCTCTCAGGGGCCCGCCCGCCTGCCCGCTGTGGGGCAGGGGGCGGAGGTGCACCTGCAGCTCAGAAGGAAAGGTGTTCTTGAGGGTGAGGATCAAAGGCTGCTTCCACCCCCAGCGAGGTGAGCGTGCACAGGGCGCAGCTCAGGGCTTAAGCCCCTTCCTGACGCTGCCCGGGGAGGTGAGGACGAGAGTGACAGTGGGTGGCCCGGGCAGTGCACAGCTCGGCTCGCTGGGTGGTGGTCCCGCCCCCCCAGCACCGCTGCTCTTACGTCCCAGCGACAGCTTGACTCTGCACTCTCCGTGGAAATCTGAACGTGGGCCGGCTGGCTTTGAAGCAGGACAGACGGCAAACATGGCGGAGACCTCCTGCTCCTCCTCCCCATGTCCCCTGAGGCTGCGTCCACCTGTGTCACCACCTCAGACTGGGAGGCTCCACTGTCCCTGTGTCCGTCCTGCCAGGCTGCTCCCTCACAGCTCAGAAATGTGACCAGAGCTGCCCCCCACAGGTCAGCCACAGGACCCCGTGCTGTGAAGCTGCAGCCCGTCCCTGGCCGGCCGAGGGGCTTCTCACGGCACCCCCAGATCACAACCCAGTCGCCCGCACTCAGCTGGCCTCCGGAGAACACGCAGACTGGAACCCCCAGTGAGTCTCAGGAAGGCTGCTCAGTACAGGTCCCCAAGTCCCCAAGTCCCTCCCTGTTCTTTCAAAAGCTACAGGCAGAAAGGATTCAAGGCTGATTTCACAGCAAAGCTCCTCCCTCAACATGCAGGCTGCTTTTTCTGAGCCTCTCCTTCTAGGACCACGTGTGGCCCCCACCGGCCACCTCTCAACAACGGTCCCCACTGACCCTGGCAGTGGGGCAGGGCCAGACCTGTGGCCGTCGGGGCTGCAGAACAAGACGCGGAACAGAAGACCAGAAACGAAGCCGGGGGGGTCACTTCTCTTCACGTCTGCCCCCAGGACAAACTCTATTCCCCACCCCGAACTTCCTCAGAACCCGTCCTGACCACGGCCCCCTCGCTCTCTGCCACTAACACGAGCTGAGGGACTCAGCTCCGGGCCTGTTTTTCCAAACCTCCTTGTGCAGAACCGCAAAGCTACTAACCAGGGACTGTCGGGCCTCGTTACGCTGCACACCAAACACACGCCCCGTTCGAAAGCCAGAAATGCTCCTGTTTGAAAAACCTCCTTGGACCAAACGGCGGGGCAGTGTGGCCCGGGTGAGCGGGGCACCTGCAGGGACCCCGACTGCTTAACCAGGAACACGGACCAGCCGCCCAACTCCTACATTGGAGGGGCACTGGAGGAGGATGGTCGGCTCCCCGGCAGAGCCACGGGCTCTCGTGTCTTCTCCCTCGTGACTCCCCCCCGAGGCACAGCACGTGGCCACATGTGGCCACGGCCAAACTGACCTCCTGACCCCTCTGTCCACTCCCACCCGTTCGCCCCAGTGGCCACAGACACTGGGGCCAGACAGACCTCGGGAAACTGCACATGAGGGTGAAAAAGAAAACCTGAAATTGCAGGTGAGACTTAAGAACCACATATTATCTCAGACTCGGATGTTTATTCAAGACCTTAAATTTCACAAATTAAAAAAAAATTCTTTCTAGCAGCGGAAACACGAAGGAGCATTTGATTTTGGTTTAAAGTATTTACAATGTGGAAAAGCCAGAACACAGACGGGGGGCCCTGATGGGAAAGAAGGATGGAGCACATCACAGGGAACAGGGGCGCGGGGCGGGGGAGGCGGGACATCGGGCAGACGCCCACTTTGTCTGTCCTGCACCGGGGGCGGAAGTGCACGCGTCCCTAACGAAATAAACCCGCCCCCAGGCAGCAGGAAGGAGCCGGGGCTGGTCTAGACGGAGCCGTGAGGACTGCCACACGGGGGGCTCCAGGGATGCTCGATGGCCCTGTTCTCCACAGTGCGACTCAATTTCTGACTTGAAAATCCTGGAATCTCTAGATAATTGGGATAACACAGCCCTGGGACACTGGGTTTGGTTTACGCTTTGAGGGAAGTTCCGGTTGCTTCTCAGTGGCTGAGAAGATCCAGGAACAATAGGTTCCCACCCCCACATTCCCTGGTAACACCCCCACCCCATTCATAAGACCCTCCAAGTACAGGGTGCCATGCGCCAGGCCACCAAGATGCCCCCAAACCCACTGCCACAGACTCGGCCAAGCCCCACGCATCCTTCCTGAGGCCAGATGCTGCTCAGAGTCTTTTGTGACGTGGCCAGCGCCCCCCCCCCCCCCGCCCAGGTCCTCCCTCCTGAAGGAAGCCTGAGGCAAACGTCACCAGCCCAGGACCTCAGAGGATCCAGGTTCTTAACTGCCCAGAGGACAGCCGGTCCTTTTCCCTACGTGCTCCCCAGCAGTGTCCAAGATGCTTCACTGCACACCGGGTACCAGTCCCAGAACTCTGAGCACTGGGCCGTCCGTCGGGTGGGTCAGGAACAGTAGAAGAGACCCCTGCCTGTGGGCGCAGCAAGCGGAGGGGACAGATGTGAGCACGAGAATGGAGAGGAAGTGGCGCTCCCTTCCTCCTCCCAACAGGAGGGGCGAGGCCTGCTCACAGCTGGAGGGTGCGGGAGGCCACCTGTGCAGAGCCGCTCCACGCCCCACACCAGCGGGCCGGGTCCCGGGGCTCCCCGAGGGGGCGGGCACGGCACCAGCTGGCGCTGCTTCAGAGCACGCCGTTCGCCGACTCCTCAGCATCCCAAAAACCCGCGACCGGCTTCTCCACTGACTTGTTTCACCGTTACAGACCAGGCCATCCACTCGGCTTGCTGTGGGGTGTGCTGGGGGGGGGGGGGGCTGTGAACAGCCCGACGCTCCGCTCTTGTTAACCAGAGACAGGACGGAAAGCAGTGTGAGGTGGGGCCTCCTCCCCACCGAGGTCCTGCCCCGGGAGGACGGGTGGGCGCGTCGGGGGGCCTCACAAACGCTTTCTGCCGCTCCCCGTCCCCTGACTCCACCCGGCTCCCACTCTCTCCCCCACTCGGGGGACAGACCCCACTGTTTTGAGGTGACAGGAGGGGGGCACGCAGCCCTCCCTGGGGTTCCTTCCTGGGATGCGGTGCCACTTTTAAAACAGACTGCGAACTTGGGTTTCGAATTACGTCGCCCCTTGCGGGGCGGAACACAGCCTGGTGGTGGCTGTTTACGTTCTGAAGGGGGTTCCGTGGCTCTGAAGACAGAATTGTGGCCAGGATGCTCCAGGGGTTTAGAAAAAAGGAAACACAATCAAGGGTGTGGGGCTCCCTTTAACCAGTGGGAGTTCAAAGGGGTCACAAAACTTTTAGATAAAATACATTTGACTTTAAGTGTAGAGTTACGAGGTACAATGTTACAAAAAGTCCGCCCCAAGGTATGTACCCCCTGCCCCAAACCTTGTTTTACACTTCAGCTTTCCACGTCCGCCCGTCACTCCCAAAGCAAGGCCCCGCTGAGTCTGCAGGAGGCCTCCCTGGGCCCAGGCCCCACGCCACCCAGACTCAGCTGGGCCTTGCGCCCACCTGCTGGAGGTGACAATGACACCCCCTCCCCGAGTGAAGAAAGACTTGGGGCAGGAGGGCACGGGCCTCTGCTTGGAGTCTCAGCAAGCCTTGCCCTTCCTTCCCATAGAAGCCGGGGTGCGGGGCAGGCTGGCTGGGTACCCAGCGGCCCAAACCGCCCCCATCACCTGGCCCCCCTCCCGCGCCTCTGTTCCCCAGAGCACTGCCAGTGTGGGCTTGTGAAGGACCACCCCCCACAACAGGGACCCCACAGAGTGGCCTTCAACTGCAGTTGGTGGGCCCTCACGGCTGAGCCCCGGGTAAGGCAGCTTCTGTAAAGAGGAATGATGGAGGAGGACTTTTAAATTATGGCCAACGTGTGAGGAGTAACTACGGAACAATAATGCCACGTGCCACACAGGGCTGCTATGATGAGACGTGCCCGAGACAGGGACCCCAGGGACACCCCGAGCCGCCGTGTGTCCCAGCCAAGGACACAGGCCCGG